AAATTAGTTTTTCAAGGAGTAGTGCAATTTTATGACTAAACTTGTGTAGACTTCTTAATGTGACATTACCAGTTTTCATGTTTCTGTTGAATCTGCCTTGATGAATAACATAAAGGACTTAGGGTTGTACATAGTCAATACTCCTTATTTTTGGAACTGGATGATAGGTTTGCTGGTATGACTGCTGGTAAGAAAACAGAGGTGATATCACAATATTCAGGTTGAAAAAGCGGCTTCTCGAATTAGTGGGCTTGAATCTTGTCATTACCACTTACTTATTACATGAGTGGGGAAAAACTATGTAAACTCTCTGTTTCACTTTTTTCCCCCATATAATACCATTAAGTTAATACATGCCTAAATGCTTTTTGACAATGTTGTCTTAGCTTGGGGTGCTTTAACAAAAATACTATAGACTGGGTGGCTTCAACAAACATTTTTATTTTTCACAGTTCTGGAGGCTAGGAAATCTGAGATCAGTTTGGTTTGACATGCTGGTTGATTTGGTTCCCAGTGAGGGCCCTCTTCCCGGCTCGCAGAGGGCCACCTTCTTGCTAGATCCTCTAGGGCAGAAAGAGATGCCCTATTTCTCATATCCTATCCATAGAGCTCCATTCTTCTTAATTACTCACCTAATGCTTTCACATTGGGATGCAACACATGAATGGGTGGGGGGGCACCAACATTTGATCCACAGCAAGTGCCAAGTACATAGTGACTGCTCAGTAAATATCAGCCACTACTGTATCAAATTGACGTTCCAGTCCTTTAAGTCCATCTCCCTTTGTTAAACTACTCCAAATAGAAATTTTTATTTGCAGGGTTGGGGTTGTAGCTCAGTGGTAGAGCGCTCACCTAGCATATGTGGGTCCCTGGGTTCGATCTTCAGTATCACATAAATAAAAAAAAGGTATTGTGTCCAATAAAAATTAAAAAGTATTTTAAAAAATTTATTTGAGCAGTTGATTTTAAAAAGAAGAGATAATAATAGCTTTACTTAAAGAATCCTTTGATTTTTCAACAGGTTAGTGTTAGAGCTGCCCCTTTAGAGTGTTGCCATTAGAGCTCCCTCAGTAATATCCCCCTCAAAGCTGGTAGTTAAACTATGACTCCAAGAATTGAGACACTGTTAGTCTTCCTTCATTTTTCAGTAAAAAGAATTGTACCTGAACCAGAGATGCCAACTCAAGCAGTCTTAATGACAGCTGGCCAAATACTTAAAAAGTTGGGCACAATCACGTGAAATGGCAATGGAATAACCAAAAAAACTACAGTTATGCAGATTTTAAGTATATAGCTAAAGACACAGATTAATTTAATGGATTTAGTTAAGTACTGACTCTTAGAAGTAATTTGGTGGTTAGGAGCAAAGCTCAATGGTAGAGTGCTGGCCTGGCAGGCTCTAGGCTGGTGTTATCCACAGCACTGGCAAAAATGTCAAATTTGGCCTACCAATTTCTGGGCAAGAGGAATAAAAACATTTCACAGGCCAGGTGTAGTGGTGCACACCTGTATGTAACCCCAGCAACTCAGGCTGAGTGCAAGTTCAAAGCCAGCCTTGGCCTTAGCAAGGCCTCAGCAATTTAGTGAGACTGTCTCAAAAAGGGCTGGGAATATAGCTTAGTGGTAAAGTGCCCCCGAGTTCATTTCCCAGTAAAAGAAAAAAAAAAAAAAAACAAGTCTTGCCTTGAAGGATGGACCAATTGACATATTCACATAAAGTAGTGAATGCCTCTATGCTACTACAGGGAAGATTTCAAGAACATCTGTTTTGTTAGTACTTGTTACTTAGAGCTCCATGGATGAGCTTGGCTTCTCAGCTGTTATGTGGCTGACCACTTCCGAGATACTTTTACAGAATTATGGAAAGTTATCCTGACAGTTTTGTCTCTCAGATGTTCCCCATTTCTCACACGAATAGCTCTTTATTCCCTGTACTCCATCATTATTCACTACTCTTCTATGATGATGCTGTCTTGGGTATTCATCTGTCTCCATGGCTATAATGAATACTTTTTAGCCCTGAAGAAAGTAATTATCTCTGATCTGGACCTATTATGGGGCAGTTGTGATGAGGCAGTGTGGAGCTACCCTTAGGGGTACAGAGCACACTGCCAACCTCCATCCTACGCAAATCCACTGGGGATTCACCACTCCTCACATGAATACCAATTTGCTAATTGGTAAGTTGGTGAATTCTGCTTTGTATCTAAAACCTGACTTGGACCCTTGCAACTGTTTATGAAGCAATCAAGAATGGTTTCAAAGCCTCTACAGGACAAACCAGCTCTGTAATACCAGTAAAATGGTGGCTACTTATAAGCACTTGGAAATTATGATGGTTACCCACCCACTTCCTCTGCTAAGCAGCCCAGGTAACATGATTCTAGATCTAACTTAAGACTTTTTTTCTCTTCTTTCCTCCTCAATATTCTTAGCCCCCATCTGGCCCATACATACTTTTTAGTCAATATTGAGGATTTCCTGGAAGACAGCTGCTGCATGCCACTCAACAAAAAGTTACCTTCTCAAGATTTCCTCCTAAGCCGGTTCTAGATAGAGCCTCCAGGCAGGAGACAAGTGAATATATTCTTGTCTCCAGAAGAATATATTCATATTTAATGCTCCTGATGTGCTAGGAGCTATATAACAAGGTCATGATGCAGATATTATAGTCTAGTAGAGGAGACAAATGAAATTAGGAATTATATGGTAAATGAAAGGTAAGGTGAGGTATAAGACACTAGGGGGTGGAAGTGGGAGGTCACCAAATACAGGAAATTGGAAGCTTTCCTGAAGTAAGTGAAGTTCAAAGGGTGTAGATTTCTGGTTTCGTAACAGAAGATAGTTGTTAGACTGCTCAGTGAGATTTTAAATAGAGAAGAAACAAAGGTGGGAAGAGTTAGATATGATTTTGGCTTAATTGTGTTAAATTTGATGTGCTTATGGGAAACTTAAGTAGAGAAGACCAGTCGGCTCAAGAGACAAGGAGGTTGGATAGGACTTCACAGCTGTCAACATCAGGTGGTAACTGAAGCCTTGCAGTTGCCTGTTAGTAAGGGAACGAATGCAAAGTAGGAACCTTGGGAATTATGTTAAGGGGCAGCAGAGCAAAACCACAAAGGAGAGTGAAGACTGGCCAGAGTTAAGAGGAAAATATGCTAGAATAAATCTGAAACCAGGGGAAAGTTCTTTGAATTCCTTGGACTCTCATATGCTTGGGGATAGGGAACAGCTTCTGGATTATCAGAAAGCAGAGAATTGCAGTGCACTGCTGATCCCATCACTACCCCAGACCCTAAGGATTTCTTTCAAAGGAAATACCACTATTCAATTTTTTCCCTCTCAGGGACCTACACTGCAATTATCTGCTCTGCGTTATTTGACCCATTACATCTCTGCAAATCTTAAAGTAGGTTCCCAATACCTAATGATTTTTTTTCAGTCTACTTTGAAGTTCAGGAAGATTCGTTCTCCAGACTTGTCAACAGCTTTTCCCTCCACAATCTTGTGACACGTTCTCTTGTTCCATTATATAGTGTTCTCAACCAACTGCAGAGCTTGCCTAGAACCCCTTTCCTTCCTAGTGTTACCGCTGTTGTCCTTGCTTCCCCAATGTTGAAGAATAACACCAAAGAAGCACGCCGAGGCAAGGTCAGAGTAGAAATTAGAAGTTTATTAAAGGACAGCAGAAAAGACTTCTCCCGGAGGAAGAAGGGGACCCAAGAGGTGGAATCCGTGGAAGGGATGTTGTCTCCCCTTTTTATAGTTCTTTCAGTGATGGAATGGAGGTGGGAAGGCCCGAGGGGTGGGACACAGGTGGGCCAAAGAAGTAATCTGGTCAGGAAGGACTTCTGAGTCAGCACCTTTTTGCTGGGGGTTGTTCATTAACATTTCTTTGAGGTGGACTTTGGCCTAGGGCCTTTTCCATGAGTTGTCCTGTGTTTTCCCTGAGTCATTCTCCGCATGGTCTCCATTTTAGATTTCACTGGATATTAGACCCGATTTATCTAACTACACTGACTACCTAACTTTAAATCTGGCTTCACTAGCATAGTAGATTCTGCCTTGCTGAGAACATGGGAGTTCTCTGCAGGCAAGCCAGCAAGCAAACAGGATGGGTATTCTTTCAGAACAGTGGAAGCCCCACAGCTGGCCTGCAGAGGTATTTCCAGGAGGAAAGAGCTGACGCTGGCACTAGGGCACTGAGGTTCTGGGGCTGGGGTTGTGGGGTTGTGCTCAATGGTAGAGCACTTGCCTAGCATGCATGAAGCACTGGGTTCGATCCTCAGCACCTCATACAAATAAAGGTTCATCAATATCTAAAAAAAAAAAAAAAAAGAAAGAAAAGCTAGGAGATTCTGATTTGGGCCCAAAAGGGTATAGAAAGAGTTTGAAACAGAAGTGACCCCGCTTAATACACACACCCTTTGCCTTTCATCATCCAAACTATCAACTATCCATCAAGGGAAATTCTGATTGTCAGACAGGAGGACAGTCCAGTTCCTTACCTTCTAGAAGAGGCCGGTAGTGCCGGCCCACCAAAGGCAAGGTGAGTCCTCCAGGTCGCGCCAAAGAACCCATGTAGCGCCCAGAGAGAACGAAGGGTTACTGGCGACCAGGCAAAATGTGGAGGAACTTTGGAAGACACTGGGGGCAAAAGGATACCCAGGAGTTGTCCCCAGTCCTACGGGTGGCAAGATTTGGGATTAAGTCTTGGGCTGACGACAGATACTCTTTTGTTAACTCCATTCTCTAGTTCTGAAAAACTCTCGGAGGTCCACATAAAGATTCAAGGTGTGTCCGTGCGCATCCGCAGACCCGGACCCCGCGCCCTGGCCCCGGCCCCGGCCCCTCAACGCCTCGCCTGGTCTCGGTGCCCATCTCCTGAAAGCCTGGCACCTACCACACCGAGCGCTCTGCAGCCACCCCGGCCGCCCGGGCTCGCGCCTGCGCAGAGCGCACCACGCGGAGGCGGCGGGGGCGGGGCTGCCACAGGCTCCGCCCCCAGGCGCGGCCTGAGAGCCGCGGGGAAGAGCTTTACCGCACTCACAGGCAGCGCTGGGCAGAAAGCGGCGGGAGAGGCGGTCGTGGCAAGATGGATGCAGGTTCAGACCCCGTGGTCATCGTCTCGGCGGCGCGGACTGTCATAGGTGAGTGGCTGGCAGGTAGGCGCGGGGTCCGGACCCCCTGCGCTTCAGTAGTCGCGCCGAGGGTCGGGCCTGTGTGGTGTGGGAAAAGGGTGGACAGGAGGGGTCATAGTTCGGCCGCGACCCCCAGTGCTGCCGGAGGGCTCCAGCGCCCTGCGCCACCCTAGCCCGGGCCTGCGGCGCCGCCTCCTGCTCGCCTGCTGCGCTCGCTCCTCCTCTCGTCCTCGGATTGGCTCCTCGTGGTAGAGCCACTGTGCTGCCAAGCCCTCCTATTGGCTGGCACAGGGAGGCGCCTTCTTGAGAGACCCCTGATTGGCCAGCTCCGGGAGGCGCCATCTGTCAGCTTATGGTCGCAGGGGTTGGACCACTGGTGGTCAGAGCCCAGGCTCTGGGCGGAGTGGGTCTGGTAAAGCGACCATCAGCTGTGGTTGCCTCCACCTCCTTAGTGCGGCAGAGCCTTTGGCCCACCCGAGCGCCGGCTGCTTTTGTTTGGGCAGCGTGGGGCCGCATCCACACCTTCCGTGGTCTTTCCAGATGGTGCCCATCGCCCTGGCTCGGGCTACTGGAGTCCCGAAGCGCGTGGTGGGCTTCTGCAGCGCGCCCAGGGTTCAGATCTCTGCTCTCTCCACAATTCTTTGTAGGCTCATTCAATGGTGCCTTATCTACTGTGCCTGTCCAGGACCTGGGCTCGGCTGTCATCAAAGAAGTCCTGAAAAGGGCCGCAGTGGCTCCGGAAGAGGTTTCCGAGGTTATATTGGGACATGTTTTGGCAGCAGGTAACTCCTGAGTGACCTCAGGAAAGGATAGGTTTATTAGAAACAGCCCCCCCCCCCCACCGTCCCCCGCCCAAGCACACACCACACACACTTGCCTCCATACATTTGCCCCCAAATTCCCCCTGCTAGGATTTATCCTATCTTCCTTCTCCCAGCCTTGTAACTTCTTCAGCTCAGGATTCGGCTTCTTTACATGCTTTTCTTGAATGTTCCTACATTACTAACCTGCACTGCCTTTCCATTCCTTAGAAGCAGGGCCAGCCTGATACATGGAAGAAATGCATTGCCCTCCACACATCAGTGAAAATGTATTACATTCCTCCTATGTGCCTGCACTGTGCTTATCACTGTCTGGAGGAAGATGAGTCCTGAGAATGCCTCCATCGTACTTCCAGTTCCTGCTGGGTTTATAAATCAGTGATCAGTGACCATACCTAATTTGATATTAATACTCATTTTGGGGAGGTAGGGGTGTAGCTTAGAGGTAGAGTGCATGGTTATTATGTATGTGGTAATGGGTTCACTTTCCGGCACCAAAACAAACAAAAATATTAGTTCATATTCACTCAATACTATAAATTCTAATTACTTGTAGTAATAATTCATAATACTCAAAACTAACTTCTGCCCCTACCCTGTCTGAAACCTGGTACATTTATCTGTGTACAGGTTGAATATCCCTTACTCAAAATGCTTGGGACCAGAAGTGTTTTCAATTTGTGGTTTTTTTTTTTTTTTTTCAAATTTTGAAATATTTGCGTATACATACTGAGATATGTTGAGGCTGGGACTCAAGTCTGAATATGAAATTCATTTATGTTTCATATATGCCTTATACACATAGCCTGAAGGTAATTTTATATAATATTTTTAATTGGTTCATGAAAAAGTTTGTGTCACAGCCAAAGAGCCTGGAAGGTTTTTTTTTTTTTTCCCCTTGAGAACCTGACTTTTAAACTTTGACCTGTCACATTAGATCATGTGTGGAATATTGTGACATGTCAGCACTTAAAAAGTTTTACATTTTGGAGGATTTTGTATTCAGAACAGACATACTTAACCTATATTTGCAGTTCCTCTTCCTAATTCTGCTCAGCTTCTCCTTATGAATCTTAAAAGATTTGTATGAATTGTGACACTTTATCATGACTCTCCAAGACTTTAAAGTATGACTGTAACAACCTCAGCCTGATTGTGTTCTGGCCCCTTCCTCCTTCCTGTTTTCCCAGACCTGTAATTCAGATTTTTTCATTTTTCATAGGGTGCTTCACTACTGGTTTCTATCATACCTCCTTCCATGTTTCATTGACTTCTTCTTTTTTTTTTTTTTTTTGATACCAGGGATTGAACTCAGGGCCACTCGAGCACTATGCCACATCCCAGCCCTATTTTCTTTTTGTATTTTATTTAGAGACAGGGTCTCACTGAGTTGCTCAGTGCCTTGCTTTTTGCTGAGGCTGGCTTTGAACTCACAATCCTCTTGTTTCAGCCTCCCGAGCTGCTGGGATTATAGGTGTGTGACTGATACCTACCCAGCTGTTTCACTGACTTCTATAGTATATCTTACATAATCATGATAAAAATAAACGGTTGTGGGGGTTGGGGCTGTGGCTCAATGGTAGAACACTTGCCTAGCATGTGTAAGACACTGGGTTCAAACCTCAGCAGCACATAAATAAATAAAATAAAGGTATTGTGTCCATTTACAACTAAAAATGTAATTAAATAATTTTAAAAATTAAAAAAAAAATGGTTGTGAACTTGGGCATGGTGGTGCATGCCTGTAATCCCAGTGGCTGGGAGGATCACAAGTTGAAAGACAGCCTCAGCAACTTAGAAAGGCTCTAGGCAACTTAATGAGACCCTGTCTCAAAATAAAAAATTTGAAATGTAGCTCAGTGGTTGAGTGCCCTTGGGTTCAATCCCTGGTAAAAAAAACAAAAAAACAAAAAAACCCCAGCTTTGTTTATTGAGGGCCTACTCAATAGAAATGAGACTTTGAGAGGTCAAGTAACTTCCCAAGGTCACAGTTTGAAGTGGAGGTAGCACACGGACACAGATCCACCATACTTCTTAAACCAGGTATCCTCCATAATCATGTAATAAGTATTTAATGAGCACCTACTGTGTGCCAGGCACTAATTTAACAGTTAGGGATAAGCACTGTGTCAGATAGGAATCCTCATTTTCATTCTATTAAATGCTAGCATGATTATGTTCAGTAATCATTTCCTAAATTTAGGGTTTTGTCTTTTTAAGGTATTAAGAATTTCTTTGTGGAGGAGAAAGCTTCTATCTGTTAAATATCTGGAGAGCAACACAAGGCAATATATATTCAAGGGCTAGACTGACTCATGGAGACTTATAGGCCTTTGTGCTTTCAGTGCAATTTAGCTGTGGGCTTTCAAAAGTGGCAGGTGGCATAGTTGGCAATTTTACATGTAGTTGCATCCTGATATTTTATCTTTCTCCTTGATTGTGAAGAGTCTTCCTTCTGTTCTTCTTCCAGGTTGTGGGCAAAATCCTGCCAGACAAGCCAGTATAGGTGCAGGGATTCCATACTCTGTTCCAGCGTGGAGCTGCCAAATGATCTGTGGGTCAGGCCTAAAAGCTGTGTGTCTTGCAGCCCAGTCTATAGGGGTTGGTGACTCCAGCATTGTGGTTGCAGGAGGCATGGAAAGTATGAGCAAGGTAAGTCCTTTGAAAAAATGCCTCTCAGTGACCTCTCACTGATAAACTTGTGCCCATACCATTGCAGAATAAGCTGATGTGTATCAGAACTGGAATCAATAGTAAGCCAACAAAAAATGGACTCAACCTTGACCCTACCTAAGTGTGTATTAGTCTTCAAATTGGAAGGGAAATTCCATTTGAAGAAAAAAACCTCTCAACTGGAACAGAACCCATTTTTTCCAGTGTTGTTACTGAAACATACAGTATTTTCTGAATCAAACTCATAATGTTAGTTGTGTCCTTGGTTTTAAATTTCTTTCCATTTTGAAGAAAGTGAAAATTAGATGTTAAATTTTTTTTAATATTTATTTTTTAGTTTTAGGTGGACACAATATCTTTATTTTATTTTTACGTGGTGCTGAGAATCGAACCCAGTGCCTCATGCATGCTAGGTGAGCACGCTACCACTTGAGCCACATCCCCAGCCCCTGGATGTTAACTTTTATCTTCCTGCATATGACAAGGAGAAACCCAGGGACGAGACTTTGTTGACCTTTTGGAGGTAAACAATGTGGAAAAGAGAACCGCAAAGTGGTGCTCTTCTCCAGTAGGTTTGCCAGGTGGGAACTGTCTCACTAAGTCGCATCCTCTAATTGGCACAGAGGTGAGAAGACAAAGGGTATCCCCTGCTTTCTACTGAGGCGGCTCAGGTCTGACCTGGGAATCCACTAGTCGGAGGCCAGTTCTCAGCTATTGCAGAGAGTCAGAAAGAGGCAGAATGAAGGTAGCAAAAATGATCGGTGATTTTGATGGGATCCTATGATATACTTTCTTAAGTGCTTTTGTACATATCGTCACAAAAGCCCAGTAGGATTGATGATATTATTCCCAATTTACGGGGAAGAAAATTGATGCCCAGAGTCGGCATTTAAGCACAGCTTTTGTTTTGTTTTGTTTCTCTGAGATGGGTCTTTTTTGTTTTTTGGTACCAGGGTTTGAACTCGGGGACACTTGACCACTGAGCCACATCCCCAGCCCTGAGTTGCTTAACGCCTCACCATTCCTGAGGCTTACTTTGAACTCTTGATCCTCCTACCTCAGCCTCCCGAGCGCCACTGGAATTACAGTCATGTGCCACCGTGCCCAGCTTGAGAAGGGGTCTTGCTATGTTTCCCAGGCAGATCTCAAATTCCTGAGCTCCTTTTGAATCAGCTTCCTGAGTGCTGGAACGTGGGCATGTGCCCCTCTGCCTGGCTAAATACAAGTCCTTTGGATCCAAGCCCATTACTCTTTCCATTCGGTTACAGGTGCCAGTGAGTTGGTGGAAGTTAAGCAATTTCTACCCAGAAATCCCTCTTATTAGTCAACCTACTTATTCTCATTGTATGTATTATGTCTCCTGTCAAAATAAGTAACACATTGTTAGCATTACGTAAGCCCTTAGGTGAATGCTTCAATTTACAGATAATTAGTTCCCTCTCTGGAAAGAATAATGGGATTCTGTTTCTTTTTTTTTTTTTTGGGGGGGGGGTGGTACTGGGAGTTGAACTTAAGCCCTCTACCGCTGAGCTATATCCTCAACTTCTTTTAATTTTATTTTGATCTTATTAAATTGTGCATTCTGGCCTTGAACTTTGACTCCTTCTGCCTCAGCCTCTTGAGTAGCTGGGATTACAGGTATGCATCACTATACCTGGCTACAAATGGGATTCTTAAGGAAATAAGACACCAAATGGACAGGGTTGAGGGAGCCGTGGTAGTGGGTAGGTGGGAGAGTAGTCATTCCCTTTTTTTTGGACCAGGGATTGAACCTGGGAGCATTTCGTGCTGAGCTACAGCCCCAGCCCGCCTCTTTTTTTCTTTGCTTTTATTTTGAGATAGGGTTTTGCTAAGTTGCCCAGACTACTCGAACTTGTGATCCTTTTGCCTCAGCCTCCTGAGTAGCTGGGATTACAGGCATGTGCCACTGTTTCTGGCTTAAATCCACTTTTATTTCTTGTTTCCAGGCTCCTCATTTGGTTCACTTGAGAACAGGAGTAAAAATGGGGGAGATGCCGCTGGCTGACAGTATACTCTGTGATGGTCTGACAGATGCATTTCACAACTATCATATGGGTATCACAGGTAAGGCAGAGGTAGCTGAGAATACACTAACTTTAAAAAGGTTGAAACAAGTCAACCTCCAGATCCAGCAGCCAGCCTACTTGACCTTTGTCTTAACTGGAAAGCTGAGCGTGGAATGGCACCCAGAGGACCCTGATAAGTGTATGGTGTTCAGTACTTTATGGTGATCTGCTGGCTAGCCTACATTTCCTTTGGGCCTCATGCCAGAAAGTGGTCACAGTTTCACATGCCAGTGTTCAGAACAGGGCTTTGGTGGATGGCGTGTACTCAGGCAAGGAAGTAGGCTGTGCCTCCCAAATGCCTGCGGCTAACTGACTCTATCCTTAAGTTACCACACAGTGTCCTCCAGCAGTATGTCCCACAGGCCTGGCAGAAGGCAGATATCAGTACAAAACGTGTGGCCACAAAGTGGGCCAAGAAGACTGAAGCCAGAGAAAAGAAAGCCAAGATGACAGATTTTGATTATTTTAATACACGAAGGCTAAGAAAGTGAAGAGAATAATCAAGAACAAAGTAGGAAACTTCACAGGGCAGCACTCCTGAGAGTGTCCCCTGGAAAACCACTTGCTGTAATGCTGCGGGTGTAGCTTTTGCTGCTGCTGCTTGAACCTCCTCCTAACCCCTAAGAGTCCCTTTTAGTCCCCCCTCCACTTTTAGGTCATCTGTCTTCAAGCTTCAATACTTTCTTTTGTTTAATCCACTGTTCTTGAGGCTTTCAAATGAGTTTTTCATTTCTTTTCAAAGATTTCTCTTTGGTTCTTTTTCAAAATCTATATTTTTGAACTGCTCATTCACATTCTGCATTGTTTTCTTCAATTCATTCAACTGTTTGAGTGCTTAAAAAATAATTCTTTTGAATTCCTTGTTTAGTATTTCATCCACTTTAATATTTCTGAAATCTGTTATTATGGAGTTATGAACTTTAGGTGACATTACCTTTTTTTTTTTTCCTATTTTTTGTATTTCTATGTTGAGATTTGCAAATCTGTTGGGATTAATCTCTCTTCCACTTTTATGTGGTGTCCTTCTTAGTATGAGGCTTTCTTCTTCTAGCGAAACATGGGATATTGGTTTGTTGTATGTGTCGAGTTTATTTTCAACTGGACTCCATAGTGTGTAATCTCCCTGTAGCTTCTTTAGTTGTGATTTGTGGGTTTGGGTACAGAGTGTAGTGTTTCAGAGTGCGCGATACCAAGAGACACTCTAGTGCTTCAGAGTGGTGTGGGCAGCACAATATGTGGGATGTGCCTCTGTGGCCACTTCTACCATGAGAGTGGCAGTCCTATCAGGAGCTGGAGATTTCCAGATGCTATTCATAGTAGCTCTGTTATAAATGATTATGATGCTGGTTGCTTCCGTTGTGTTGAAGCACCTGAAGCTCTTTTCCTGGTACCGGGGATTGGACCCAGGGACACTTAACCACTGAGCCATCCCTAACCCTTTTTTTAATATTTTATGTAGAGATAGGGTCTCACTGAGTTGTTTAGGGCCTCACTACATTGCTGAGGCTGGCTTTGAACTTGTGATCCTCTTGTCTCAGCCTCCCGAGCCTCTGGGATACAGGTGTGCGCTACAGCACCTGGCCCTAAAGCTCTTGTTCTCTTTACTGGAGACTAGTGCAGATCTGGGTGCTTCACCAGGAAGGGCAGCGGCTGGATTCACGGCTCCTCTGTGAGAATCGCCTTCTGTCCTACCAGCCCTGTACAGTGGATCAGGTATGGCTTTGGTTGATGTAGAGGATCCACTTAGATGCGATGTCAGCCACTGTTGTGTGTCTTCTCTCTGCAACCACTGTGGAGGTTTCTGCCTGGGAGCCATCATGGGGACAGGTTCACAGCTTAGGGCTCATGTCCCCCCTCTTCTTTAAGTAGAACTTTCTGCCAGGATTTGAGCAGGCTTCTGTTGTAGCTCAGAGGCTGAGCGTCTGTCCTAGTGTGCATGAGGCCTTGAGCCCAATCTTAGCACTGGAAGAAAAAGAGAGAGAATAAAACAAAACGAAAACAGACAAAACACCAAGGGGAGAATACTTACATAAAAAAATAAAAAGGAGAAGGAAGAGAAAGATAATGATACAAATAGAAATAAAAAGGAAAAAAATGAGAAAGGCACTTAAAAATTTTAAATGAAATAAAGTAACAGGCTAAAAGAAAATAAATAATAAAAAGTAACAATGACAAAAAAATAACAGGAGTCAATAATTCCTCCTGGCCAAGGTGCTCAGGAAATGCGAGTGAGGGCCACTGGTCATGAGCTGTGCCCGTCATCTCCCTGGGTCTCCTAGGGTTGGAATCCACCAAGTACTGGGTGAGGGTCGGGGATGGGGGCTGTAGTTTGCTGGAATTTCCTCAGCTCTCAAACCAGTTGGGGTGCATGCAGGCTGTGTCAGATCTTTCTTGCCCAGTGAGTTAATGCAGACGTCGGCTGTGCCAGAGGTATATTCTCTTCAGAGGTTTTAGCCTGCACATCCAGGGCCTGGCAAATGCTGGGCTGTGGCAGTCAAGAACTTCTCACCAAGTTTGGGTGGAAAGCCACCTGTCCCAGGAGTATATTTGCTCTGGAGGTTTTTAGTCTGTGACCCAGAATTGTGGCAAATGCCAGAGCCTCCCAAAGTGGGAGTGGCAATTGAATCACTGAGTTCTGGGCTGATTGAGGATCACGGGAACCAGGTGATCTGCTATCCTCAATCCCAGTGCCTTCAGACCTGGGCCCTGCAAAAACCAAACCAACTGGTATTGCTCCCCATCACAGAAGCCAGGTTCACTGAAACCACTGATTCCAGAGTGCTCTCAGCAGTGTAAAGCTCTTGGCAAGTTTGTGTTGGCGACACTGTCCCAAACCAGGAGTGTCTCATGTGACTGCATTTCCAGTCAGCATAACGAGGTGTTACTGGAGATTGTGGGGGTTTTTTGTTTTTTTTATTTTTCAGTTTTTGGTGGACACAACATCTTTATTTTATTTTTATGTGGTGCTGAGGATCGAACCCAGCGCCCCACGCATGCCAGGTGAGCACGTTTCTGCTTGAGCCACATCCCCAGCCCTGGAGATTGTGTTTATGCCAGCTTTTGTACCCGTACAGCAGTATAGTTGCATATAACAGGATCTTTCTCAAGATGGCTTCTGGCTGTAGCTTCTGAGAGGCTGGGAATGCACTGAATTCCTTCTCTGAAGCTGGCTTATTGTGCGGTCTCCAGGTCACTTATTTACTTAAGCTATTTGTCCAAAGGTTGCAGCCTTCCTGGTCATGCTGTGACTCTGTTTCACCTTTACCCCACCCCCAGTGGGGAGCATCCCCTTCCCCAGTCGCCCCGTGCCAGGTGCTGGGGTCTTCTGCTTCTTTTGCTTTCTTATTCTCCCTGGTTTCTGGTTTTCATCAGGTTTGGTTTTTCTCTGTCAATGTCAGTGGTCACCATGGCCACTTTTCCTCAAGCAGTTACATTGCTGTTGTTTTGTTTCTTTTCTGTGGAGGAACAGTTAGTGCATGGGGACTCTGCCATCTTCCCAACTTGCTAATCATTTTTATATCCCTACTTAGATGCATAATTCCTCTTTAATGAAATGAAATAAGTATTCTGTCCACTTTGTGAATCCTTGACATCAGATATGTTAGAGATGGGACGTACTTGGATTGGGGATATGGCTCCATGGTTAAGTGGCCCTGGGTTCAAACTCCCATACCTCCCCCCCCAAAAAAAAAAACCCAATAGTAATAGAATTGAGATGTACCCCAGGTTTTCTGGATCAGTCCCATCATTTACCAAATGAGGAAACAGGGCCTCCAAAGAGTGGTTCTGCTGCCTCAGGCACCTGCTACTTTGGAGTCCCTGTGGAGTTCTCCCGTGGAGCCTGATGGAGGGTGAGAGAGTTCCTGGGGAGGCGCGTGGAGTGCTGGCTGAGTTCGGGCAATAAAGTTGTTCCTGTTGGAACCTACAAGTGCCTCATGGAGGCTCGGTTATTTTGTGCCCTGCCAGACTGTGGCACTGGTACTTAACTATTGTTTTGCACTCCACGTTATATATTAGCCAGCTATCTAGAAGGCCCCTGGTTTTATGTTTATCGACAATGCAATTGGTAAATCAAAATAACTCATGCTTTTTTTTTTGTGGTAGGAATTGAATGCAAGGACACTTTGCCACTGAAATACATCCCAGCCCTTTTAAAAAATTTTATGGTGAGAGGGCCTTGCTAAGTTTTTGAGGCTGGCTTTGAATCTGTGATTCTCCTACTTCAGCCAGGGGGAGGCAGGAGGAGAGAACTACTGGGGAATGATATTGGCCAAATAATATTGTCATGTGCATGTAGGAACATGTAACAATGAATTCCACCATTACATACAACTATAATACCCCAATAAAAAATATGGAGATGGGTGCAGTGGCACACACCTATAATCCCACCAACTTGTGTCCAACTAAAAAAATATTTTTAAAAAAATTGCTTTGGCTATTCTGAGTCTTTTATTCTTTCAAATGAATCTTAGGACTGCTTTATCTAGTTCTGTGAAGAATGTCATTGGTATTTTGATGGAGATTACATTGAATCTGTATATCGATTTTGGCAAAATGGCCATTTTAACAATATTAATTATCCATGAACATGGAAGGTCTTTCCATTTTCTTGGTTTGTCTTCAATTTCTGATATTCATTGTAGAGGTCTTTCATCTCCTTGGTTAGGTTATTCCTACATGTTCATTTACTTGTTATTGGTCTGTTTAGGTGTTTTGTATTCTCTTAATTCAACTTTAGTAGGTCATATATATCTAGAAATGTATCCATTTCTTCTTGGTTTCCAGTTTATTGGAGTTTTCAAAATAATCCCTAATATTCTTTGAATTTCTGTGATGTCTGTGGTGATTTCTCCTTTTTCATCTCTAATTGTATTAATTTGGGTCTTTTTCTTTTGTTAGGCTAATCAATCTTGTTTATCTTTTTCAAAGAAACGATTCTTTGTTCATTGTTCCTTTTTATATGTTTTTCTCAATTTCATTGATTTTTGACTCTGATAATTATTTCTTTCCATCTATTGGTTTTGGAATTGGTTTGTTCTTTTTCAAACGCATCATTAGATTTATTTGGGTTCTCTCTGATTTTCTTATGTGACTTGACACTCAGCTATCTTTCTTCTTAGAACTATTCTAATAGTGTCCCAGAGGTTCTGGTATGTTATATCACAATTCTCATTGGATTCTAAGAATTTTTAAATTTCTCCCAATTTCTTCTATCACTTATTCATCATTCATAAGTGTGTTGTTAAATCTCCATGTGTTAAAATAGTTTTTCTAGTTTTTTTTTTCCTAATTTCATTTTATTATGATCAGATAAGATGCATGGACTTGTATCTTTTTCTGTGTGTCTGTGTATATGCTGAGTTGCTTTGTGGCCTCAAATATGTTCTATTTTGGATGTTTCCATGAGCAGCTAAGAAGAAAGTATATTAAGCTGATGTCAAATGAAATGTTCTATAGATGTCTGTTAAGTCCATTTGATTTAAATTTTTTAGGTCCAAAGAATCTTTACTGCATTTATGTTTGGATGAGTAATATACTGATGGGAGAGGTGTGTTGAGATCATCCACTATTATTTTACTGGGGTTGAGGCTTTAATTTCAGTAGTGTCTGTAAAGGCAAACTCTTCCTTTTTCATATAAAACCAGTTAGTCCATATCAAACGAATGTTGCAATTAGAAATCATGAATGAAAGCTAAAACTAATGAAGAAGTTTAATAAGAAGATATTTTCCTAGACTTAGAACAACTTCCCATAACTTACTGATTAATTATAAATGGAAAAATAATACCTGTAGAGTTAGAAACCTGGCAGATACCACTGTAACCAAGGACCAAATCTGACATCACCTGGGATACATTGATTACTTTCATGTCCTGACAAGATTCCTGAAAGATCACGCCCTGACAAGATTCCAGAAAGATCATGCCATCATTTGGTGGTATTCTGCCTTTAAGCAAAATTGTCACATATAAGCTTGAGGAAACATGAGACAACCCAAATTGAGGACATTTGATAAAATAGCTCGCCCTTGCTCCTCAAATTTAACATGCACAAGGCCCTGGGTTCAAATTTCCAGTTAAAGAGGAAAAAGAAAATGTGTAGTTCAAAGTCCTTTTCATAGAGCAGACCATGCTGAAGAGTCTCAGAGCTGGAAGAGCAAGTTTATGAAACACAAAGGTAGTCTAAAGAATGTTCCAGATTAAAGGATACTAGAGATGAATAGTTAAATGATGTAATACATACTCCTGCATTGGATTCTGTACTGAAGAAGAAAATATCTTCCTATTGACTAGTAGGATGATAGGTTAAATTTGAATAGGGACCAAGAATTAGACAGTAGTATTAAATTTTCTGATTTTTATAACTGTGGTTATGTTAAAAAAAAAAAAAAAAAGGCCTTGTTTTTGGGACATGTACACTGAAATTAAAATTCAGGGGTGAAAGGACAGTGTATCTCCAGCTTTTACTCAGATGGTTTGGAAAGAGAATGTTAAAGCAAATGGGGCAAAAATGGCCTGAGTCATTGTAGCATTTTCAGATCCCTGCCAGGACAGGGCATTGCAGACAACACCCAGCATTGCACCTCAGCCCACTAGGAAGCCTGCTAGTAGGTGTGGTCAGCACTGCTTTAAGTGTGGACAGCTTGAACTACCAAAAGCCAGTTTATGAAAATGTTGGGTTTTACTTTGTTTTTCCACAGCTGAAAATGTAGCCAAAAAATGGCAAGTGAGTCGAGAAGATCAGGACAAGGTTGCAGTTCTGTCCCAGAACAGGACAGAGAATGCACAGAAAGCTGGCCATTTTGACAAAGAGATCGTACCAGTATTTGTATCTTCTAGAAAAGGTGGGTAATAAAAATCATAATTTAAACCTTGACCTATTTATAGTAAGAATCATATATAGGAATTTTTATACATTTTAATCTTAGGTTTTTCAGGTTGCAAGGATATATCCTGGTTACATCTGAGTGTAGGGGATAGGAGATGCTGTATTTATGGGACATGGTAACATAGAAAACTGTTATCAGCCATTGGCTTGTGATTATTAAGGGGCAACAGTTGACCTATTTCCCATATAAGCTAAACTAAACCTTCTCAGAAGTCAACATCCATTAATTCCTGTTGCTTCTGTGTGTGACTCATATTCTAGAGAATAGATCTTCTAGAGCATGGTCACATGTCATTGTCTAACACAGAATGCTTCAATCAAGTTCCTTCATTGATAACTGACATCTCACCTCCAGGCAATCTTGAGATTGGCTGTAAGACTTTCTGATTCACTCAGTTTTAACCAGCCAAAAGTGCTATGATGCAAACTCTAGCACCTTTTGCTTTTACATCTCCCTCAGGAAAGGTTACGGATTTGGAACATATAGTAATTGTACTTTTCTTCTACTGGAATGAGTGGGTATATATTAACAATCTTTCTGCCAAATATGAATCCTCATTTCTGGGAAACCTATTATTCCCAGGACACTCAATCTAAATCTTGGCTTCTCTTCTTGTAGGTCTCACTGAAGTTAAAACAGATGAGTTTCCTCGCCATGGGAGTAACCTTGAAGCCATGTCCAAGCTAAAGCCCCACTTTGTTACGGATGGAACAGGAACCGTCACCCCAGCTAATGCTTCAGGTTCAATTTTTGATGGGTATCTGGGGAGATATATTTTCTGCAAGGTCTAACAAGTGAAGTGAATACCTTTTTATACACAAAATGGTTCTTAAAATTCATTTTAGTTTAAGGAAGAATTCTATTTGATCATTAACCTATATTGAATTTGATTTCTTGGTAGTCCAACTAGACATAGAAAATACAGTACCAGGCTGGGGATGTGGCCCAAGTGGTAGCGCGCTCGCCTGGCATGCTTGCGGCCCGGGTTCGATCCTCAGCACCACATACAAAGATGTTGTGTCTGCCGAAATCTAAAAAATAAATATTAAAAATTCTCTAAAAAAAAAAAAAAAAAGAAGAAAAGAAAAAAAAAATACAGTACAGCTGCCTTTATGCTTTTCTAATACAGAAATTCCTAGTACCCTTCTGTGATTCCTGAGTATATTTATTCCAGTAGAGACTTCCTAAGTCTCTACTACTCCAGTGCTATAACCTCTCCATTCTTTCTTTTTCCCAGTATGGTAACTGAACCAAGGCACTTTACCAAAGCTGCATCCACAATGTTTTTTTTGTTGTTGTTGTTTTTTTTGACAAGGTCTCGCAAAGTTGCTCAGGCTGGCCTTTAAGTTGTGATCCTCCTGCCTCAGCCTCTTATGGTTGGAATCACAGGCACATGCCACCATGCAGGGTCAAACATACCGATTCACTTTTTTTTAGTGTTGGGGCTCAAACCCAGGGCCCCGTGCATGTTTCACAAATGCTCTACCACTGAGCCACATTCCTAGCCCCAAATGGCTTTTCTACACTATAAAGTCTGAATTGTGGCAAATGGCTTTGCCAAGATGGCCAAGTAATTTAATGTCTTCAAATGGAAAAGTGAAATTCTTTTAAGTAAAATTAATGAGCATCATGGAAATCAAGTCGCTTACATTTTATAGGAATAAATGATGGTGCAGCAGCTGTGGTTCTCATGAAGAAGTCAGAAGCTAACAATCGTGGGCTTTCACCTTTAGCAGAGATTGTTTCTTGGTCACAAGCAGGTGTGGAACCTTCCATCATGGGAATAGGACCTATTCCAGCCATAAAGCAAGCTGTAAGTGTAACTTTAGATCTCATCCTCCACTCTAGGTCAGAACTCTTTAGACCAATAATCTGTGTTCCTGTATTCAGTTCACTTCACTTCTAATTTCTGCTTAGTCTTCCTACTACTTGGGATGCCAGGATTGTGCTTGGTTTTGTCAGGTTTCATCTGCTCTTTCCCTTTGTAAAACACAAGTCCTTATTGGTAGCTTTGAGTTGTTTCTTACCATGAAGAGCAGCATTCGGCTCTTTTCTAATGTCCTTACATGGACATTACTGATGCTACTGGTTCAATATTTATGAATTTGGAATTTTTGAGGGATGTTTTTAAACAGCACACCCTTAACCTTTTGGATAGAACTAAATCATTGGGCTGATCTAGGAACACCACATAGTGGTAGTTTGAGAGATCCTTAAATGTGGAACATTATCTTCGTAAGTCAACAAGGTTTAACTTTAAGCCTTTCAACCAGACCTATATCCCATTTATCTTTCTTTAGGTTGCAAAAGCAGGCTGGTCCCTGGAAGATGTTGATCTGTTTGAAATTAATGAAGCCTTTGCAGCTCTCTCTGTTGCAATAGTTAAAGAACTTGGATTAAACCCAGAGAAGGTAAATAAAAAGAAAAATCAGTACAATGAAAATATGAAATCAGATATTTTTAGGGTTGTCCGCTTGGCAGTGGATGATATTGGGACTCGTTAACAGATTTTTTTTTTTTTGCCTTGCAAAACATGACTATATTAGTTTGGAAGTTAAATGAGCTTTATAAGATAATTACAAAATAACAAAGGGGGACTGTGGTTATGGCTCAGTGGTAACGCACTTGCTTAGCATGCGTGAGGCACTGAGTTACATTCTCAGCACCACATACAAATAAAGGTCCACCAAAAAATATTTTAAAAAATAACAAAGGTTGTCACCACTGCATATCAAAGGTTATGATTTTATTTCTAAGCAGTCATGATGAAAATTGAGCTTGAAAGGTTTGACACTTAAGTGGACAAAGATATATTTGGGATTTTAACCTCTATCTGGAGATCAAGGGATCTAAGAAAAATCTTTTTCTTCTTAGGTCAACATTGAGGGAGGGGCCATCGCCTTGGGCCATCCTCTTGGAGCATCTGGCTGTAGAATTCTTGTGACGCTGTTACACACGTTGGAGAGAACTGGTGGAACCCGTGGTGTTGCTGCCCTGTGTGTGGGAGGTGGGATGGGAATAGCAATGTGTGTTCAGAGAGGATGAAATACTTAACAACCACACTGTTTAAAGCAACCTGAACTTTTTAAACTAATAAAGTTTGTGATACCAAAGTGAGGTATCAAAACAGAAGTTGATAGCATGCTGTACTTTAATGTATAATACTCAAGGTACAAGACATTGCATTTAACATTGTTATAAATAAAAGGGAGATTCAGATCAGTCATCAAGGGCTCCAGAGTGAACCGCATCTTCATAACCTCCATGCTTATCATCTTTACTTTCTGGGTGTAATTTAATAAGGTCATCAATCCGAAGAATGGTAATTGCTGCTTCTGTTGCAAATTTCAAGCTCTTCACTTTAACTACGGTTGGTTCAAACACTCCCGCTTGCTTGTTGTCTCGAGGTTTACCATTGATCAAATCAAGACCAATCCTACAATTAAGGTGAAATAGCTGATTAAATGATTTCCCACAGGTTGCTTAGGTGGCCTGTTAATTCCAATTATTCCATTCAAATATTAATCTTGAGAAATACTGGCTTTATGGTTACACTTAACAAACACAGCACTGTGCAATACAAAAAGGAAGAAACCCTGTTCCCAGACATCTAAAACACGTTATGTGCTGCATGATAACATTTTGGTCAATGAAAGCCCAAATATAAACATTGGTCCTTCCTAGAAGATGATTACTATTGCCTATATCTTACAATGTTCTCATGATGATCACTGTGAAAAGGAGAAAAACTATATGCTTACCATTTTAGATTTTTCCGTTCTGGATTAACTTGAGCCTCATTATGAAAAGCTCTTAACTTTGCAACCAGATCTATGGAGTCTTGGGCAGCATTAACTGCCAGTGTATTAGGAATAACAAGAAGAGATCTTGCAAACTCTGCAATAGCAAGCTGTTCCCGAGAGCCCTAAAAGGAAAAGATAATTAGGTTCTTTTCAAAAAGGAAAATCCTAAGGTTCACAGCAGCAATTAAGATCCCAGACAAAGCATGTTAACAAAATGCCAATTATAGCCCCTCTTGAAAATCAACTCTTACCATGCTGGTTGCATAGTTTTCAAGGTATATGGAAAGGGCTGCTTCTACAGCACCCCCACCAGGAACGACAGATTTCGACTCCAAAACTCTTTTCACCACACAAAGAGCATCATGTAAAGAGCGCTCCATCTCATCACACATGAAATCATTTGCCCCACGTAAAATAATCGATGCAGATGTTCGTGCCTTAGTACTAATAAGAACAAAAAGTAAAACTGTTAAAAAAGAACATTTACGAATACTGTACAAAAAGAATGTCTAGGGCTGGGATGTAGCTCTGTGATAGCTCTACCACATTTGTCTAGCAAGCTCAAGGAATTGGGGTTCAATCCCCAGCATTGTAAAAAGTGAAAAAAGAGGGCTGGGGTTGTGGCTCAGTGGTAGAGCACTTGTCTAGCACGTGCAAGGCTGTGAGTTCAATCCTCAGCACCACACGTAAAACAAACAAACAAAAATATATATATATAAAACACTGTCTAGACCATGCAGAAGAGATGAAAGTAACTTCACCTCAATTTACAAATGGCCCAATATTGTTTTATCCCATGCGTATAACTGCTTATATCACTGAGAGACTACAGCAGCAAATAAATGGGAAGGAAATTTTTTACTCAATGAAATTTGTATAGCTTTAATTTGGAAAGTAGCTCTTACTTTTTGATTAAGATCAATTCATCATCACAAATTCTCTCCTGGACCACTTCTTCTGCTTGTCCCAACATTGTAGCTTCAAAAGTTTCTTCACCTTCCAAATTGGCCAGGGTTGACAGAATAGTTGCTATAGGAGTTAAAAAGATCTCTAAATATTGTTTCCCACGATATTAAAGTCTTAAATAAAGAAACATTTATGATAAAAGTGATGCATTACAAATTAAAGGTTTATAGCTAATTATCAGATAATTAACAGTTATATTTTATACTAATATGAAACTATATCATTTTGAAGTGAATAAAATCAGTTCATGAATTCCCAACAAACTAAAGAACTTTTCCAGTTCATGAAAAATAGGTCTATATTTATTGTGGATAGTGCTGAGTGTTTTTGAAGCTGCTCAGTGCCAGTACTCCAATGTAAGGCTTGTGCCAGGGAATGCATATCAACACAAGGTTTTTTTATTCAAGACCTTACAGTTGTAGTACCTCCAGAAGCTTTAGCAATACGCTTAAGATCCCTTTTCAAAACTCTTCTAACTGCCATGGCGCCAGCCTCCACAAAGTACTTCAGACACATATCATCAATTCCACCAGTGGTTAGAATAACGTTGGCACCAGTTGCCAGGATCTTCTGAATTCTCTCCTTGGTGATATCTGATTCTCTACAGAGAAAGTATTTTAGTTAACTCATGTTACTTTCTGTGTTTTTTAATACTACAACTCTTAACTTCCATCGAATACTTTTCACAAAGATTAGGGTAGCTCAATGGTACAGTGCTTGCTTAGCATGCACAAAGACTTGGGTTCAATTACCAGCACCACAAAATAAAAACTCCAAAATACTTACCATGAAATAACTGTAGGCTAAGTTATGTCAACTGTTCTTTCTTACCCAGAAGCAAAATTAAAATTAACCACTTTGCTCTCCTCAACTCCAATTTGAGTTCCTATCAAGTATGGTTAGAAAGAAATAGGAGGCCCTGCCTTCAAGAATCTTATAGGGAATTACTAATTTCTCAGGGCAAATGTTTAATAAAGGGATCAAGAGTTAAACTGCAGAAATAAGTAGGACCAGAATATGAATCTGGCAGGCCACATTAAAGAGTCTAGATGGCTAAGATGCTGGTGTTTCTAAACAACAGTAGTATTACCAAATCTGATTCTTTTTACATGGAGTGAGGACTTGAACCCAGGGCCTCATGCATGTTAGGTAAGTACTAAATACTGTACCTCTGAACCATACCCCGCTATCCTTTGAATCTGTATTTTCAAAAGGATGCCAATGTCCATATGAAAGTTGCAGTGGAAAGATTAAGGACTGAAGACAAGGAGACAGTAACTGGAGATAAAGAAGTATCCCTTATGAGGACCGACAGCACGAACGAAAGTCAAACTACAGGCACAGGTAAATGGGAGGTATGGGCTTGGGGCAGGTTGGGAAATCAAGAGCACAGTTTGGGATGTTGTAAGTTTAAAGTCTCTGTTATTCAGGGAAGGCTGCAAAGAGGAAGTCAGTATATAAATCATAAGCAACTCTAATAAGGAGATATAGATTCAAAGTCAATATACATTGAAGTCATGGAGTAGATGAGATTATTCAAAGATTTTTTTCAAGTAGTCAATCATGCATTCATTTTGGTCAATGATAGGCCAAATAAACAACAGTGGTCCTATAAAAAATTATAATGAAGCTGAAAAATCCTTATCACCTACTAGCATTATAGCAGCTATCTTGTCACAATGCAGTGGACACACGTATGTAGTGATGATTATTATAAACTAATGACACTTATCAGTTGTATTAAAGCACAATCAAGCACATTACATAAAACTTAAATGATCAAAAACGACTGTTACTCGTCTGTAGACTTACCATACTTATTGCCTCTGCCTCTCAGGTAAGTGAGACTACAGACTACAAGTATGTACCACCATACTTAGCTTGTTTATTATTTTGTAGAGTACTACTACTCACCCCGTCTACTAAATAAGTACTGTGTACCAGATACTGAAGAACCAAGGCTACAAAGCCAAAGAAATAATTCCATCTCTATATTCAGAACTCACATTACAGTTGTATACATAGCAGAAACTGTGAAAGCCCAAGAAGACAAAGATTGGGAGATTGAGGGAAAGCCTCCCCTCTTTAAAGGCATGTTAAGACAGAATCGGCCAAAGGCTTGATAAAGATCAAGAAAAAGGAGGCTGAAGATGTCAACTGACTTTCATGCTAGTGTTATTATTAGTGACCCTGACACTGGAGAAAAGGGATGAAAAAGGGATTGAAAAGTAAAGTCCCAGCAAACATGTTTATATCACTTTTGTGGCACCTGCTTGATAAGAAAGGACAGGGAGTAACTATGTCAAGTGGATGAGCAAAATGCTTTAAGGACAGGAGAGCTCCAAGTGGAATCCAGCAAAGGAAGAGTTGAGTTAAAGATGCAATTGTTAAAGAACAATCAATGAAGGAGGGTTCTAAGGGAACAGACTCTGGAAAACATACTGCTGGAGAATTCCCCTCTGATAGAAGGAAGGAGTAAAAGGATACACATGCATATAGATTTCGAAGATGGGCAGCATTTCTAGCTTTTGGCAAAGATTTCTTGCAGGCTTTGGTTAGTTGTTTATTCAAAGTAACCAAATAGGGCTGGGGATGTGGCTCAAGCGGTAGCACGCTCGCCTGGCATGCGTGCGACCCGGGTTCGATCCTCAGCACCACATACCAACAAAGATGTTGTGTCCGCCAATAACTGAAAAATAAATATTAAAAAAAAATTTCTCTCTCTCTCCCCTCTCTCTTTAAAAAAAAAAAAAAAAAACAAAGTAACCAAATAGCAAAAAATAAATAAATAAATAAAAATAAAAACACACTTCCAAGAAGAAGTAGAGAATAGTACAGCAGTTATCAAAGTCTGGGAAGGGTGTGGGGGAGAGATGCAAAAAGTTTAATGGGTACAGGGACAGGAAGAACAACTAACTGAATGTTTCAAAATAGCTAGCAGAGAGGATTCTCAATGTTCCCATACAAATAAATGTCTGAGGCAACAGATAATGATTATCCTGGTCTGATCACTACCCAAAGTGAAGCCACACTGCACTCAAATATGTAGTTACTACATGTTAATAATAATAATAATAATAATAAATGAATGTGGATAAAGTGGAAGAAAGCAGGCAAAATCCCTGGGAGCAAACTACCTTCACAACTAGCTCTTCCTGTATGCCAATTGAGTAACACCATCTGCAGTCCCTAGTATCCAGTATACAGTAGCAAAAAGTCTGAACTGCTTCTTTGAGGAAATAGGTTCTTGGCTTTTATACCTTTAATCTCAAATCAATTCATAAAGCCAAAAATTCCACAAAAAGTTCAATTTTCACAGAAGTCATAGCACCCCAAATCCCTTATAAAACATCATCACATTTCCTATTTTTTTTCTAGAGGTTCATGTAGGACAGTTTGATTTGGGTAAATGTTAAGTTTTCCAAAACTCTGATACTTAAAAAGTCCAGTTCTGTAA